CGTTTTAGGAAGGAGGGCATGGCCAACAGTGTCAGATGTTGCCAAGACTGCAAAGAGTCCATTTGATTTAGCAACACAAAGATGTTGAACCACTTCATTGTTGAGTGTTAAGGATTAAATGGAAAGTATGAAAGTAGAGAGCTGGTTGCCCATGACTTTCTCAGGAAACTTGGCTCTGTCAATAGGAAGAAAATGGGGCAGGACTAGGAAGGGATGGAGAGCTGAGTGTTAGAAAGCTGTGACCTACTGGGTTTAAGGGTGTGATGCCTTTATTTTCAGAGGCATTCATGTCTCATGACCAAAGACACTGAGTTACTGGCATGCAGAACTGGTGCTTTGCCCTTCTCTTGACCACAATTCCCACTTTCCCAAACTGATGAGAGACTGTTTTTGAGATATGTATTAATGGAGGTTGTTGCAGGGTCCTGAGAGGAAGAGGATTACATAGAGGGAAGGGTAGTTATAAATGTTTGAACTGGTTCCCTTTTGTTCTGGGAGAGAAAGGAGTTAACCACAACCTTGCCTTCATCTTGATGATGGGTAGTTATATTTCTCCGCATGCTGGACTTGTCTACACTGTACTCTCGGTGGAGAACTTGGACCCCCTTTGCCTCATTCCTTCCACCCAGAGTGGTTGCAGCGTCTGCTCTAACTGTTCCTAGCCCTCCCACCAGTCCTCTTCCTCCTGTGCCCCCTCCTCCCCCAGACATCCTTCCAAACAGTGTTGTATCTGGGACATGATACATTCATTAACCAATTGCCACCCGCAAAAAGGAATGGGGATCTTTGGAGGGTGCGTTTATTTTGGGTCCCACATCCCATTTCTGACCACACATAGAACAACATTCAGCAAACAGTGGTTTCTGAGCAAAAGTCAGCCCATATATCTTTATATGGCCCAAGAACTCAGAACGGTTTTTACATTTGTAAATGGTTGAAAAAAAAAAAAGAATTCTATTTTGTGACTCATGAAAATTATATGAAATTTGAGTTTCAGTGTTCCTTAGTAAAAAGGTTAAGAACAAAACTCCAAGGAACAAAGATTTGCTATCGGGTCTTTTACAGAAAATATTTGCTCACCACTGGTTTAGAACTCCAGGTGGCTGTGTGTCATCTATCTCCACCAGCAGTTCTGGTGATGTCAATAGACCTCCTTTCTATCAATACTTTCCTAAGGGCTGAATCTTCCCCACCGCAGGAGCTACTGACGGATTAATCCACAAAGGATGAGACATTAGGAAAATGTTCTACTTTTTTTTTCTTGGAATGTAACACAATGATTTCCAAGCCCAGCCCAACACTGGCACTCTGCCCACCCCCACCACACAAACACACACTCACACACACATATGTACCCTCTTCAGAATATGCAGGAGGTCATGGGGGTGTTTTTGGTTGTGGCTGTTATGGCTGCTGTTATTTGTTTCTCAAAAGGGAGTATGGATTTTGAAAGGACCATATTCACATAGATTGATTTCTAAGATTACTTAATTGCCACATTAGATCTTTCTCACTGCCTCTTCCCCCACCCCTTCTGTCTTTCTTTTTCTTCTCTATCAAACTTGCAGCATATACACTGACAGTTTCTTCCTCACCTCCCACTTACTTCTCAGCCCACCACAATCTGGAGTCCACTCCCACTCCAACGCTGAAACTGCTCTCAACACATTTGTCACCCATCTCATAATTACCAAATCTAAGGACACTTTCCCGTCCTCCCTTGACTTCTGAGTAGCATTTGATAATGCTGACCTTGCCCTTTTTCATGGAACACCTCTATTTCTCTACATCTGCTTCTTCTTTATTCTTCTCTTAGCTCTCTGGATGCTCCTAGTGCCACCAGATTCTTACAAATTAGTGTATTTCAGTGACCTGCTTATTATCTAGCATCAGTGCCAAGCCCAGCCTCCTATACTGTGTTCTGGACTGCTTGGCCGTGTATTTTCCAGCCTTCCTGGACGGTTAGCTTCCTGTTAGATTCTCTCAGTAGGAGGTATGGGTGGGAGATCAGATGGCAGGAGAAACCAAGAAGCTTCCTGCTTTAGTTTCTAAGAGAGTGGCAGCTCCTGGTACCAGCAGCAAGAATGGGTGATTCTGGACTCCAGCTTCCTGGGCAGAGGAAATACCTTCTCAGTGATCCAGCTTTGATGGAGATGGTGCCTTTTTGGTAGATCCAGAAGTGACTGTGATGGTGTCTCCTCCAGGACAACAGCAGGTGTAGACAAGAATTCCAGCTCAGGGGCGAGAGCTGCTTCTGATTTCCAGGTTTTCCTCTGTCCTATTTGCACCTCCAGCCTCTCTCTTTTTCCCTCTTGCATGTCTTGCCTTTTAAAAAATACCTTTGTAACCGATCTCTATATTAAATCCCCTCAGTCTGAAATACCTAGAATGATCATACCTTCCCGACTGGATCCTGGATGATACTGAATAACTGGTATGAGTTTGGGGTTTGAACCCAATCCGACATGTGTCCTTGTGTCACTTCCCCCTCCCTCTGCACAGTCTACGTGGGTGATCTTGTCCACTGCCTCTGCTTCAGCATTTGTGCAGATGACTCCCAAATTAAGGTTCTTCAGCCCACACCTGAGATCCATACCCATCTACTTCATGCCTCCTGGTTACCCTGGCACCTCAAATTCAACACAAAACTGAACTCAATTCTCTGCTTCTATGACTTTCTTTTCTATTTCAACTCAGTCCATCATTGATCAGCCACCTAGGCTGGAGACCTTGCTGTTACCTCTCCTTGACCCCTCCACATCTAATTATCAGCCAAGCGCTTTAGATTCGACTTCCTAATTACATCAATATTTGATTCCCTCCATCTCCTCTGTTCAAGACTTAATTCAGACTCTTACCATGTCTCACCTAAAGTATTGCTATGCTGCTACCAGAGGGCAGTGTGTGTGTATGTGTGTGTGCAACTTCTAATTTTGTTGTCATATACATCACAAAGTCTATGTGTGGACTCTTGACCAGCAGTTTGGCCTCAGTTCTTTTCAAGCTCCAGACCATTATTGGAAGCATCAGAACGATTTTTCTAAACTGTTAAAAATGATTGTGTCGGGGCCTCCCTGGTGGCGCAGTGGTTGAGAGTCCGCCTGCCGATGCAGGGGATACGGGTTCGTGCCCCGGTCCGGGAGGATCCCACATGCCGCGGAGCGGCTGGGCCCGTGAGCCATGGGCGCTGAGCTTGCGCATCCGGCAACGGGAAAGGCCACGACAG